GAAGAAGAAGAAGAAAAAGGAGGAGGAGGGCGGTACACGAGGTGTCAAGAAAAATGAAAGCAATTTTCTCTCGGTCTCTCTTCTCGAAGGAGGTATCTCGATCGAAATTGTTTCAAGGTTTACCTTGCTTTAACTCCGAGCTCCCATTTTCCCATGAAGAGTTAACTCGGAAAAATTCCAACTATTTCGACGATCTATTTCGCAGTCTTCTTTATTTCTCTCCATTTTTGTCTTGTTTTTTTTTCTTTTTTGTTTTTGTTTTTGTTTTTTCTTCTACTTAAACTCTTAACAAATGTTACCAGATAAGAATAAAATTGTTTGCTAAGATGAACAAGCCGATAGAAAGAAAGACGAGCTGGGAGTTCTCGATCGATAGTCGAGCTACGAGTCGAGTTCATCGCGTTTCCATAGAACCACCTGAAAAGATATCGCCGGATAATATGGAAATGAAGGAAGAATTTCGTAGCGATGATCGGTATGCACCGACGCGATGATACCGTTGCGAACCAGAGCCACACCCTTGTCCGTATACACGCATATACCTGTATCTACCAATATATATACATATATATATATATAAATAGTAGACACATATGAGTACGTATGTGTAGATAGAAGTACTAGTAACACGTGGCAATAGTGGTCATAGCGGAGGTGCTGAAGGTGGTGGAGGTGGAGAGATCCCCGCCAGGTTTGCAACACATATACACATAGTCTTACGTTGCGACTACTACTCTACAGTAACCTGCGCTCGTAACCGATTGTATCTTTGGCTATCTCTCTCTTTCTCCAGACGTGCTATGTAGAGTCGAGAAGAAAAAGGAGGATTGCAGTTGGAATTCGAAGTGAAATCACCGGTTCCTTCTTCTTATTCTTCTTCTTCTTCTTCTTCTCTTCTTCTTCTTATTCTTCTTCTCCTTCTCTCCCTTTAATCTCGATCCATGCGAACCTATATCTCGTGCTGCGAATCGCCGGGAGGTGGAAAGAAAAGAAGAAACACGGGAGACGAGCAATACCATCGTCCACTCGTTACGTTAATCGATTCGTGTTTAGAAAAACTTAATCTAACAATAAGTGAAATGAAGAAAAAGAAATAAAAGTATTGCGAATAGGTAGGCACTATGATGTACGGGGACGTAAGAATAGAAAGAGATATGGAATTCGCAATGGCGTGGACGATATTAAATAAAAGATAGATAGTTAAGGTACGTGGCAAATATCGGCGCGTAGAAATCTTAAGGATTATTTTATTATAAGAAATGGGTAGAGCGGTGAATAGATTGCAGTGAATCAGCAGGCTCTCCTCTTTGACTCGATATAGATAGGCGATCGGGTGTGCGTTGGTAAACGCATTATAAGCCTCCTCCGTTGCACGCCACTCCCCTCCTCGTCGGCTAGTAGTCATTAAACCACTACTCTAGACAACTGGTGCTGATTATTTAGCAATACAAATCATTCGTCGTACGATCGTCCGTCCCTCTTACCTCTTGTCACCCTAACTCCGTCTTTCTCCCTTTTTCTCTTTGGTGTTTTCTATTTCTCTCTCTCTCTCTCTCTCGGTCTTTCATCCGCCAAGCAAGTTCTCGCGTGCGCGGGCGTGGTACTCGCGCATGTATATGTATATACGTAACGCTTACACCGATACACCGTCATGTCGGTACTCGTCGATACATGCAAAGATCTTTCCCAGTGTGCGAACCAGCATCAGATACGAGCCAAGAGAAACAGTTTTGTTGATTAGCGAGCTCGTTGAACCGGCCGTATTACTTTGTCGAATCGTAGAAACGTTCGCTCGGTTATTCGTTCGAATGAGTTATGGCGGATGGTTATGCTTTAAATCGCACGTCTCCCTAATTTATATATTCAAAAAATTTGGATTTTGAATTGAAAAACTAATGGGAAAAAAACCATCTTTCTAAGATAAAATATTGTATTGGAGTGAAAACGTTTTGAAGAAAAGACATCGATTTTGTTAGAGGAGTAGCCATTAGTAGGATAGCAAAAAGCGTTCAAGTTAAATAGTTTGAAGAAAGATAGAGAGTGCACCGTCACGATCCAGAAACAGGTGCGGAATCCTTGGTAATACGGATGCATTAGAACTCGAGCTCGGTCTTTCCTTCTCTGTTGGTATCTCTCGGGCTCTCTCACGTTCGTCGATTCATCGTCCAGGGCATTTGCGATAACGCGCCGTTATCGCTTAGGCCGTCTGCCAGGTCGATGTTATCGGGCGTGCTTCTGCTAATCGGCTTCAACCGAGTTAGAGAGATAGAAAGAAAAGGGTGAGCATTTATTCGAAAGGTAGAAGTAAAGGAAGAGAGACACGAGACGGCTAGCTTCCTGAATCCTTAGCTAAGACGGTGGCATCGTCCTGATGGACGGTAGGAAAGACGCTTACTTTGCTATCGTACCTAGGTAGTATATGCCGGTATCTTTGAAATCGGCCTACGATAGGCCGGGGTCATCTGGGTCAACTTGTACCTTCCTGCTTCGTCGTTTCTTCTTCTTCTTTTTCTTGCAGAAAGTTGCTTGGCCTTCCTTTACGATCTATGTATCTCAGAGGGGTTCGGTCGTACGGAAGGATTATTCTGTTAGGATGATATCGAATAATTTATTGTCTCGTAGGATGAATCAAAATTAATAACCAACGGTTGCCTCCCTTTTACAATTTAACAAAGTATATGTCGGTTAGTAGTTTTTTTTTTTGTGCATGTTTTTTTTCTATCAGGAACATTTTTATCGTCTTTCACGTAACAGTGTCATCATTAATTTTGAGATCAAAGGTAGATCGTTGGACGTCGTAGTTAAGAAACCACTAAGAACTTGGAGAGTTCTTGGAAGCAAAAAGTGCAAAGCATAAGAGCACTCGGACACGCGGAGTGGCGCATAATCGCGAGATTACGTAAGCCCGGCGAGCTTGTGTTGTTACGCTATAATTAGGATCGGCATAACCGCCGGCAAAGCTTGCCTGCCACGCTGGTCGTCTACGCTTGCCCGCGTGTAATCCGCGTCGTATTAATAAGCCTATCGATATAACGCTCCAATAGAACAAAAGGAAAAGGAAAGGGGGGGGGGAAGGGAGAGAGAGAAATAAGTTGTCATTATCGCCGAGAAAATTCAGATATCGATTGGTTATACGATTGTAACGTTCCGCTTCGCGATCCTTTACATTTTGATTTCGTTAATCAATTATCGATTCATTTTAAACGGAACGATGAACTTTCTCTCGGAAAATATAATAACCATAAGCAAATGAACAAAAAGGAATGAGAACAAAATATTTCGAATGATTCGGGTAGGGTCGTAATTATACGAAGCACCTTATTCTCGTCGACGTGTTTTCCCCATTAGAGATTTGAATAAGCAGCTAATAAATCAGATTTCGCGATGCGGTTCGTCGGGATAATTTACGAGAGGAATGATAAAAGAGGGAAGTGACGCGGAAACAACACGTTTCACCGATCGATCTCTATACTCCGGGCTAAGTATCGCTAAACGGGCGGAGTTAAGTAAATTAATAATCCCATCTTCCCGTGAGGGGGAGAATAATGTTGGGATTAGTAGTAGTAGTAAATAGGTAACGTTGATGATGGTGTCCATCGTATGATCGTCGAGTTCCACGGATCGTTCCACGGATCGTTCCACGGATAGCACCACGGATCGACGGTCACGAGCGTGAAATTCGTGCGGGCCTCGGTGAAAATCAAGATCTCTGCGAGTCTTCTGGCGGACGTATGCTTGATTAATACCCGCCCGTAATTACGCGGCTGCCCGAGGCTTTCGAAGGGCGTATGTGAGAGAAGAGGGCAGTCCTCGTTGATTCGCTCCAACGAAGAAGGATGCCGCGAGGCTGAAAGAGAGAGGGAAGACGAATAGGAAGAAAGAGAAAGGGTGGAGGAGGCTGTTAAGGTAACGCGAGCGAACGAAACCCTGACAGATTTCATCGTGGGCTGACGTAAACAATTTGCGAATGTAAATACCTGTTGAATATTGAGCGTGTTAAGAGAGTGAGAGTGAGAGAGAGAGAGAGAGAGAAAGAAAGAAAGCCCTCACACCGCGAGTTTCTCGCACCTTACAGCCGTTTACCCTTTAAACTCGTGATTACTCTCCGCGCCACCTTCGGCCAGCCCTTCCACCCACCCACCGCGAAGGGAGACTCTACCTACGTCATTGGCATAAATTATGCGAACGTCGTAGCCGTCGGTGCTTCCAACACCTTCCAACAACACCTTCCAACACGTTCCTTCTCTCCTTTCCTTCTTACTTCTCGAGCCTAAGTTTCGTGTAGATGGGAACGATCGAGTGGCTTGATATATAAAAAAAAACATTTATCAAGATCCTACGTAACAGATATGGAGAGCCTGTGTAATATTCTTCTTTTTTCTCCATACTTTTTATATATTCCCTTCTATTTTTTCAGTTAGTATTTATAATAGAAGCAGGATTGCATCAAAGTACACATTGATACAGAGTATATAAACTAATATTTTATTCAAAATACTGGTCTTTGATACTATCATTAATATGATCTTTGATCGAATCTAATCCCTTAGAATTCGATCGAAAATAATAGTTACGATATGAAATAAGAAGAAATTTAGTAAATTTTTCTCACTTACGTACGCGGATAGATAGATAAGAATCATAATTTCTCAGTAGGAATTGCTTGTTGCCGATAAGAATGATAAAGAGTTCGATATTTAGATGACTCCCTCGTTTGGTCAAGACTTTCTTTCATTTAATTGCCGTGCACCGATTCTAACGGTATTGCTGATAACGGTCTAGAATAATTTCCTTCTTCTACTTACGCCCGTCGTGTCTCGAGGAACGATAATCGTTCGCCGCGTACTTCTCTTTTTGCCCATCTTATTTTTGTATTCAACATTTCCGCCAAAGTACTGACTCATTCGATAGAAAGTTACAAGCTCAGAGACACGTTGTTTATTATTATACGTATGCATTCTAATGCGTTTAAAAGAGAACATTGAAAAGATTTTACTCACCGTCTTGATTCATTCCATGGCCACCGTCATCTGAAAAAGAAAGAAAAAAACAACAATATAATTACGGATCGATATCGAGACAATTCTTAAATAAATTTTGTACTATTTTAACGTGTTAACAAATCGTAGGATAATTTAAATATAACAATATTCGTATATATATATATATATGTATATTTGTTCTTATTGAAATGTTGAATCTTGCATATTTGAATGCATTGTTATTGCAACGAAATAAATAAAGAGAGAAACGATAAGCGTCGCGCGTTTTATAGTTTTAAGTCGAATGTAACCGCCGCCTTGGGTCATGACGACCAAGCCTCGATGGAAACTCGCAGTGCAACCAACCTATTTGTACTTGGACTTGGTCTCGGTATCGCCGCATCTCGCAATGTTCCTTTATTTAACCCCATAAATAACCGACGCTATCTCACCCCGAATGCTTTCGAAGGAGCGCGGACTACTCCAACGAAATATTACGTCCTGCCACTCAAACTGTTACGGAATTTACATACCGAGTTTCTATACTATCTGCATATTAAAACTCTCCCCTCATCGTATCGTATTTTGATAAATTGATTTATTCAACGTTACGGAGTTCGATAATTTGTAAATAATCCATTTGAAAGACGTTGAAGAAAATACTCGTAAATAATTATAAGTCTCGTTGTTAAATAAATTCTCTTTGGTCTATACGAATTTTATAAGAAACTCGCGAGGAGCTATAAATAACTATGATAGGTTTAGTTTTTAAGTGTAAAAAAAAGAAAAAAGAAAAAAAAAATGAAAGTAACATTAATAACTTGGAAGTAAATCGTTCGAACTTGTACGGGTTGTATGCTTTAGATCGATGATAAATGATATATGATACATATATCGTAAAATTGACTGATCTAATATCATCTTGTTTATAATATGGAACGATGGTTAAATAAGTATATTCGTGTAAGTATCTCTGCGTGCATCTATAGATATGCATAAGTATGCAGAACGAAAGTCTAAATATTTTTCTAATAATACTTTTTTCTCTTTTTTTTTTTTTTTTTTTAAACGAATTGAACATTAATCTCTCGAATAATCTTATCGTTAAATAAGATCGTTAATGATCGGTAGAGACTAGGTATCAGTAAAATTTCTTATTTCGTTCGATAACCGAGTCGCGGCACGAAAATTCATACGTCGTCGTTGTTATTTACGATTATATCGACGTACCTACGTCATTAAGTGAACACGAGGATGCCTCGCATATGCGGCATGATTATGACATTCGACGGGAGTATCCCTTTCCTCGTCGTTGTCGTCATCGTCGTCGTCGTCGTCGTCGTCATCGTCGTTACTTCGATTAAATTTATTGAACGATTTCAAGATAGTCAGTAGAACTTCTCCAGTAGCTACTTTTACAGTTAACATCGCATCGCGGCATATTTCTTGAAAGACGAATATTCCATTAGACAAATATGTTGTCGGTGATTATAAAATGCTAATAATTATTCGCAAAAGAATTCGAATAAGATGACGCACGGGATAGAAACTTCCAACTACTGTGATTCTCCTAGAAATGTATTTTTTTTTTCTATTATATATATATTTTGTTATTATCTTGCTTAATAATATATTAGAAAGTATCTGTCAGCTTAAATCTGTATTAATACAAGTCATAAAACTATTGCACATTCATTAAAAAGAATAAAATGTAAAGGTATATGAATAGTAAACGGTTCATTATTAAAATTCGCATTTTATTCTATCATAATAGGCAGGTTGATTTTTTTTCCAATAAAAAAGAGACAACTTTTTGTGGAAAATTTTTTTACCATAAGATTTTTTATTACAACCTATCGAGAGATCATGAGAAAAGATTTACGTGATCGATCTCGAATGACGTAATCGAGAAGAGCAAAAATCGAGAGAGTCGACCAACTTTCATATTTCTTGCCGTCCGTTCTTATCGGGTCCGCGGTCGAGTTCACAAATTTTGTCCACTAATTTTGTCCACTGCGTTCGCGTCATCGTCATCGTCATCAATTCTCTTTATTCTCGTTCTATATTTCTGTTGACAATAATTATGTAAGCTTTGTAAACGCCGATCGTCTTAATTACCAGACAACATAACGGAATCCAACCAAGAAGGTTTGTTCTCGCTTAGTCACGATCGCAAAAGTAATCGGAGAAGGTGGATAAGAAACAATAAATTGACTCCGAGTACAACGAGCACCGATATACGAAATAATAGTTAGGTAGTCTAGTCTCTCGGGTTAGGGTTACTAAACGATTTAATTCACATTTGCAAACACGGAGATTACGCAGCGAACGTTTTCCGACGCGTCGATGTATTTTAATGCATGTCTATCTGTCTCGCAGTTTCTGTTTTATTCCTTTTCAAAGGTACTCAAGGTATTAATTACAAATTAATGCGACCACTCAAAGACACGCACCATTAGAGATAATTGAAGACTGGTAAGCGTTGAGTCGTGGTCCCCCACTTCTTCTTCTTCTTCTTCTTCTTCTTCTTCTTTCAGAGAGAAACTCAAAGATACATTTACCTACGTGTAAACGGACCTTCGACTATCATAAGTTTCTACCAAACGCGATTAATTCGTAGACCGAGTCGTGCAACGATGGATCGACGAAGAACGATGTCATACCGATCGCGATATAAAATAAAGAGGACAACAAAAATATTGCAAATTACAACCTATCGGAATATATTATAGACACTATTGAAAACTTGTTATATACATTAAACACTCTAAGCTTTATTTTTTTTTATTTATACATAGAATATGGAAATTACAAAGGTTGATTAAGATTTTCTATTTGGACCTTGTTCGAAGTCATATATTTCTATTTCAAAATTTGTATTAAATGATGTTAATTATATACGTTATAAACAACGTTTAAATTTGCAATAACATTTTTCGCATTCGGTAATAATTAATGATCAAAATGTCGCAATTAAATGTTTCCTTTTGATCTTTATTTGAATGTTGTCTCTTTTTCTTGTTTGATTATCTTGGAAAACGAAGGACTTGGGATTTTTAGGGGGAATATTTCCAAGAGGAAAGGTCAAGCACGCTCGAGTCGTTTCCAGATTGACATTAAAGCCTCGAATGCACGGTCGATCACTGTCAGGAGCAAGTCGTTTCTCTCTTCCTCGATTCTCGTTATTGGGCGCTAGATCGGCGATATCGATAATATATCCGAGAAGCACGTCGAGGAAGGTGGGCCATGCGATTGATTCGATTGCAAGCTCGCTCTTCCTCTCCGTTCTTTCCTCCCTTCCGCCCCATCATCGGCAACGTGAGACAACAAATATTTAGAATCGCATCGAACGACTAACGCGCGTATAATAAATATGATTAATACGTAACGATATGAATAATCGACAAAGTCGGTATCGATCCTAAAAAGATCGATCATAAATCTTACCTTCGCGAAATACAATTCTACTCGCAATTAATCATCGTTCTAAAGTATTACTTACCTATTATCTCGATACGAAACTATATCTTTTGATAATGCGAAAAAGAAAGAATAAGCACGTATATGTATGTTGGATCGTGTTACGCGTTGTCCGTAGAATCTTCCAGATGTGTGGTCTCAAGATTGGTCTTGGTTTGGCTTTGTCAAATAGTTGATATCATTAGATTTAACGACCCCTTCTGGACTTTCTCCTCTTTCTCTCTCGTTCTATCTATCTGTCTACCCATCTTTTTCTCTTTCTTTTCTTTTTTGTTTATTCGTATCGAGAGCTCATGCCTTGTCACTGGCTCCTGCCACGGCGGCGGCCTTTCATCTTCCTTAACCAGCACCACTGTCTTTCTCAGTCCCGAACGACTGTTACACGTACGTGCTCGCGCACAACCATGAAAAACCACGTAAGTGAAGGGAGAAGAGGGCGAAGGACGAAGGACGAAGGACGAACTCTTCGGGATATCCCGAGCATTGCTTTTTCTTTTTCTCCTTCTTCTTCTTCTTCTTCTTCTTCGTTTCGCTCGATGGTTGTCGTTTACCAAAGCACGTACTCGAAAACGTATGCACGTAAATACACGTGCACGAGTACGATGAGTGTCCAGGATGACGGGGTGGAGGAGGAGAAGGAGGAGGAGGAGGCGAACGTTCGCAAGGCATCCAAGCAACTTCAGCTAACTCGATTGTTCCGTATGGAACAAGGCCGTCTTTCACGCGCTAACTTCGAGTCCAAGTTCTCTCTCTTTCAACTTGTATACTTGGATGCTTTCGTTCGAGTGATATCCCGCAGATCGAAGATTTAATTAGGATCACTTTTACCGCGATTATCATCCTCAATGATGAGAACGAATGATCTTAAGCGTACGTAATTATTTATATCTATGACTTAGCAATTTATTCGATAATTAATAGGTGCTTATACGTAATTACTCGAAAGACTAATCAAAAATTTCAAGAAAAACAATCGTGCTTCGCGATACTATGATAAGTGACGCACAGACAGGAGTAGGTACGTATCTGTACTTAATAGAAAAATGAATTTCTTGGAAGAAACACCCGACACAGAGTGAAGACTCTTTGGAAAACAGTTGTTAAAGATATTGGAGGATAAAAGATAGGAATAAAATGTATATATACTTGTATATATATATATAAAGGATGTATGCGCTCGAGGATGCATCGTCATCCTTCGAGATCGTAATGGAAGCGCCGGCTGTGCCTTGCCGGGACGAAGATTTATCGGCGGCTTTCCACGAAGCACGTGCCTCGACCTTTTTGCCCGGTACCACATTCCTATCGGTTATATGTACCACGCCAAGCGGCTTCGGGGTTAAGAGTAAGTAAGCTCGTCTTCGATCGACGGTATCCCCTTGGATAGCGAGCCCTTTCTAGCCCTTTCGAGCCCTTCCTCGCACTCGCACTCGCACTCGCGATTTTCCCTTTCCTTTGCCGGTATTAATTATCGACCGGTAATATTCTAAGCTCGTGCGCAACCAAGAAGCACCGAGATAAGAACCCGTGCCTCCTTTTATCGGCCATTATGGGGAGAACTTTAAGGGAGAACAAAAAATTGAAAGAAGTAAAGAAAATCAAGGAGGACACCGAACCGATAGCGATCCACGACGATCGAGTAATTATCGTTCGGAGGAAAGAACTTGCATACTCGTCAAAAAAATAAATAAGTAAATAATGTGCGAGAGAGAGAGAAAGAGAGAGAGAAAGGAGATAAGAAGAAGAAAGAGAAGCCGCGTGTGTTTAGCGAGTAACAACTTATATCCCACTCGTACATGGATAGATAGTACATAATACAACGCGATACCTAAAAGTTTCGCGATCGAGGTTGCTCTTACGGCGTTCGATTTTATCGTTCGATATGCACCGATTAGTCACGGCTTAAGTGCTGTTTGAACTCCCTGATTTACGCGTGCAGAAAAACACAGAGAGAGAGAGAGAGAGAGAGAGGAAAGAAAGGGGTTACAATCTCGCGTCTATGTAAGTAAATCCTATACGTGTAATTTCTTTTGGAATTAGCGCTGAATAAGATTACTTTCGTGCGAAGAATATAGTAAGATCTTCTCGCAGGTGTACATACCGACATGTATATATATATATATATATATATACCTTATGTATCGTGCTCGTGATGGAAAGGAGGAAGTTCTCTCGCGAAGGCGCAGACAAAACGGTAGAGAACGGAATAAAGAAACCCTCTCGAAGGCGTGCGTGTCGTATTTGCTTTCGATTCGAAGCGGAGAAAAATCGAGCTCGATTCGCTCGATATGGGAAGACGAATGATTGAGAAAAAAGATTGAGAGAGAGAGAGAGAGAGAGAGAGAGAGAGAGAAAGAGAGAGCAAAGAAAAAGCACAGAACGACTACAAGGAGTTCAGAAATGGTGCAAAGTAAGTACGACACCAGGTGGAGAGAGAGAAAGAAAGAGAGAGCTTGTATGTACGAGCGAGTGTCGGCATCTCACCTGGGGTCGTTTTTACGATGCCAGCGTCGACTCGGCAACGCGGACAAGAAGAAGACCAATTACGGCGACAAAACACCGACTATATACCGTCATCCCTCTCGTTCTTTCTCTTTTCTCTCGGAGAGAGAGTGCCGAATGTCTCGCGCCACCTTGCTTTCCGATCGGCCGAAGAAAAACCGCTTTAAACTTGCCCGATACGCTCGACTTTTCGATTTTTAATCAACGATCCTCTCTCTCTCTCTCGTGGAATTTTCTTTTAATAATGAAATATTACGATTTTATACGGACTCGCACCCGCGCGTGCAAGCGCTCGTTATTCGTTCTTTCCGACGCTTTCGATGTCCGTGAAATTCAATATCAATTTGTAGAATAGACGCATTGAAAAATTTATCGAAAAAATTTGCAATGGTTTCATTGCATTGAAAAAAAGAAACGATTAGAGATATTTGTTAAAAAGAAAAAAGAAATATATTCCAAGGACAAGGAAAGATCGAAAATATAATAATAATGAAGTAATAATAATGATTATGAGAGACTTTGGATTCGTAAGAAGAAACATACGTTTTTTCTTGGAGTCCTCATGCATACCTCCGGGTGTCGCGGTAGCGTGATTGTGATGGTGGAGGGCTAGGGGATCCTGGGGATGCGGATGAATGGCGGCTAGAGTACTTCCGGCTGGATCACCTGGATTCACCGCGACCCCGACCCCCAGGTGAAGAGCACCATGCTGCGTCGCGTGGGCCGGAAGCTCCATGCTGATCATAGCACGCCACCCTCCTTCCAACCCTCTCCTCCCGACGCCCTCCTCCACCTCGGACAACACCTCGCCGATTTGGACGAGGCGTCTGGCTCCCCGCTTCTTTCCTTTCTGCGAACAAAACATTTTTTCTTTAGAAAAAAAAAGAAACATAATTTTAGATTTTCTTGGTTATCTAAATAATATTGTATAATAAGTTATATATATATAAAATCGTAGACGCATCTATCGAAAGTGTATATCTGATCGATCTCATTGTGTTTTTTTTCGAATATAACGCAGGTGTAATCCGTTCTATTCTTTCCAGACGACGACGACGACGACGAAAGATCGGTCACAGTTCGCGTCGGTCAGTGACTCGCGGAGAGATCAAGGAGATCAATGGTGAAAGAATAGAGTTGGACGGTGTTTCTGTAGGTATCGGTATTCCTATACCCTCCTGGATATAGTAAGGAAAGGATGACAGAAGGAAGTTAGGTAGTATTCTCTCGGAGGAAGACGAAGGATTACAAAAATAAGTCTCGGTGGTCCAACCACGGTGGAATTGCCTTTGCCACGCTTTTTACGCCCGGAGTAGATAATTTCTTCGTTCCTTTCTACGTAATGGCCTGCCGGGTGATCTTTTTTGCTTATTATGTCCGAGAAGGCCGCCGCAAAGCGACACACCGTGCCGCCTAGCTCCGAGCCCGGCTCGGTGGGAGGAGTGATTCTTCTCCGCGAGGATGAATGAAAGGATGAATGAAGCGTAATTTCGTGTCCACGCTTTCTCTCTCCGTCTCTCCCACTCGATATTCCGAAACGATGGACTTTGACGACTACTTTCGAGACCAGCCACTTCTATCTTTTTCCCTTTTTTTTCTTTTTTTTCTTTTTTTTTTATGCCGGATCGTCGTTATTATCACCGAGATTACTTTCCAAACGTCAAAGTCATTACCGCCGTATCAACTACTTAAATTAACCTGACTCTTCGTTTCATAGAGATATACGCACTGGCCTCTGTCTAAGTTATTTATACGAGAAATCTTTTTTCTCTTTTTCTCCAATGTGCCGAAGGGAACTTGGTTCGTAAATTTTCAAGAATAAATTTCATTTTTTCTCAGTCTCCGTGTCCGTGGGAGAAAAGCTCGTGGCGTTGCTACGAGAAAGAGAGGTTTCACCAGGCAGTCGCACAAATCGTCATTCGTCGTTCATCCGTGAAATTCAAAACTACTCCCGCGTTCCGTCGATTTGCATCGCGAAACAGGACGTAGTAAACAGTTGAAGAGATGGTTGGGACGGGGGATACAGATTTTCTCTTTTCCCTTCGAACGGTCACGGTCAGACGCCCGAAAAGATGCACTTTTCGTATTTATTTTTTATTTTTTTGTATCTGGAAAAAAAAACAGAAAAAAAGGAAAATTCCGAGAGAAGAAGATAGATCGGATCGTTGAGCGAATTACGACGGACACAAAGCGTAAACGCGCGAAATAAGCTAACGCAGGAACAAAGTCGGCAGCCTTTTTCCCACTTAACGTAGACATAAGTATGGGAACGCCGAGAGAAGCATAAGCGCGCACTCTTTACTTGACACCCTTGCCAACAAGAGAGCAGATACCGAACAACAAACGCCGAGAGTCACAGAGAGTTTAGCAATTCTCTACGAGGAAAAATAAGAGAAAAGGAAAGAAGAAGAAGAAGAAGAAAAAGAAAAAAAAAAAGAAAAAAATAGAAAAAAGCAGGTTGCTCGGTTGGCCACGAGAAAGAAAAGAACGAACGAACATTAGTCACCCAACGATTATATCGCATATAATTATATCGTATTATGCGCAACGTACGTACGTACGTACGTAGATCTATTTGTAGAACGTGTACACCTGTGCACGTAAATCCTATAGGTATTTACCGCTTTTACCAGACAATTTAGTTTCCCTATGTTTCCTCGATGAAATAGTTTATACGATCTATCCTGTCTAGAAAATAGTATTGAACGCGCAAAAAGAATAATAAATAGGATAAAGGTAAAAAGGTTGCCTAAGGGAAAAGGAGCTTAAGTAAAGCAAAGTGGGCAAGTTGTAGTTGGGCAAAGTACGAGCGTAAAGATCGTGCACGAGTCGGAAGAGAGGAATCGTCTTTTCTCTCTATCTCTTTCTCTTTGCAACCGTGGGAGTCGGCTCGAAGTATATACGTAGTCGCTAAAACCATTGTTTATGGTCCCTGAACGGCCGCGTACTTTACTAACTATCCCTCTCACGAGGCCCATAGGACTACCATCGGTACTCTCCTTCTCTGGCAGGCAGCACTCTTTACGTCTCTAAGAAGGAAGGTAAAGCTCGTCGGAGGTGGACGAGGAAACGCCAGAGTATAGCGGCAGCAGCAGCAGCAGCAGCAGCAACAGTGAAACGAGTTTCGAGTCTTGGCTCGTGCACTAAGAAATAAGAAAGAGAAAGAGAGAAAGCAAAATGGAATCGTGTTTGCGTAGAGAGGAAAAATCCTGGGCGCTACTCTCCTCTCGCGTGTGGTCGAGCGATCGGGAAAGATCGTCCGAAGGGTAGCTCGTGTTTCTCTAACGAGCACAAAATAGAACCGCTCGACTATTTTATTTCTATCGATGACTCAACTGCTCTTCCTCCTGCCAAAGAGGGAACGCGTACACCATGGATAGATAGGACGCCTAAATTTGACTAACAATAAATCGATCTTTCTTTTTCATCGTAAAATCATTTAAAAAGAAATCATTTGTTCTGTTTTTTTTTTTTTCTAAATTGTCTTTCCATATTATCGATGGTTATTACTCGTCCGGAGAAACATGAAAGTTCCATCGAAATAACGATCGAGATTTTTTTCTAACGATCGAGAAGATTCGTAGAACTCGTTCATCCATTTGACGTCTACGATGTTACTCCCTTTAACGCAAAGAATCGAAGGACGACGATGTGCCAGCCGGTTAAACCGCACGTAAAGGATCTCGAGAAGACTCCTCTTCTTTCTCCTCGTCGTACCAAAGAGTATAGTAGTATAGTGGAAGCAACAGCGAAGAGTAGCAGCAGCCAAAGAACGGTGGCTCACTCGTAATGGCGGTGCTCTCGAGGCTTAACAACGCGTGACAATATGCATCAAGAAATTGCTCGACCGAGGAGCCTTCTCTCTCTCTCTTTCTCTCTCTTTTATATACACACACATACGCACACGTCTTAGCTACCGGAATTCTCGTACGCACGCGCGTAAACGCATCCATCGTTCGTTCGAAGAACATCGAAACTGCACCGAGTCTCACGCGAAAACAGTCGATAATACATTATGCAACTCTTCGGTCCATAAACGAACGAATACTCTCGCATGGAATCTCCCAAAGGAATCCTCGGAAACGTGCTTCTCTTTCTCACCCTTTCCGATTATAATATCATCCTATCGATTTCGAACGTTTTCCTCCAACCATACGTATACACATAGATATATGTGTATATTTATAACAGGACGATGATGATCCATAGATCCTTCGGAGTTGCTTACTTTCTCACGTATATTTCAATATCGATCTTTAAATTTACTCTCATTTTATGCAATAATCCGTTTTATGATCTTTTATTTATATCATTGTTAAACATAATAAAACATTGTGTAAATTTTGAGTCAAAATAGTTTTCAATGATAAATATTAAATAATACTTAAAGATGTGCACAACTGCGAAGGATAATTTCGTCGAGATCTCTCCTTTTTCTGTAGGCAATTAGAAAATTAAAGTACACGCTCGCGTTGGATCGGAAAGCGCAGCTCGGACTTATCGCGAACTGGTATCGAAGCATCGATGATGATCGTTCTCGGTATCGGCGATTAACTCTAACTAGAGAGAAAAGGAAAGGGGATACACGCGTGCATGAATATTCACGCGAGGCGTATCTACTCAACGAAGGATTACCATCGACTCTCGATCGAGCTTTCGAGCAAGATAAAAAACATTCTCTCTCTTCCTCTCTTGCTCATTAACCCCGTTACCTAGGTGCATGTATACACCATCGCTCGAACGATACCTACAACAGCGACCAATCGCAACCCGCATATATCTACATTATAATTGGATTTCCACGCAAACAAGAATAGTAGTCGTTTAGTTCGATTTTATAAAGTTTACGCGCGCGTTTCAAAGGAAGAAATTATAAAATAAACTAAGAGAGAGAAGTTCTCGCGAATGGGATAACAGAAGCTATCGACAGATTGATCCAATTGGACGCGATTTACCATTGCATCTAATTTAAGTTGAGAATAAAAATAATTTATGCGACTACTGGAGCATATCTCGCTCGGTCGACCCACGTAAAACGTATTTACGTTAGACGGTAAATATGCGGTTTTACGCGCGGAACGTTTGATAGGAGCGAAGTCGTCACTCCTGGGTCAAGTAATTCCAGTTTCTCGATGCTAAGAAGTTTAACGGGTAAACTTATCAACGGTAAAAGTGACTTCGTTACTTTTTTCCTTTTCTTTTCTTTTCTTTTCTTTTAGTTTTGACTTACAATTAAATGTCTAAAGTAGCATTTTTATTTCGTACCTTGTCTTTTTTCCAAAATCTTATTACAAGCTTCACCGATGTTCGTTTCTTTTTATACGACTCTTTAATATTTCGAGATTATCGTCGCGTTGAAGTTGACGAGAATTCCTCGGAGACCGGTCGATTAGCTTCCAACCGAGGTATACTCCGAGAGAAGCTTCTTTCTGTTCCGGTTTTGCAATCTCTTAGAAATGAACGAACCGAGCACTTCGACAACTTTGCAAAGTCGTTCGTGGGAAATTAGCCGATTTACCTTAACCATAGATTTTAACTAATTTCGAACGTTGTAGCTGTAACAGTCTTGCAAATATTCCTGTTTTTTTAAATATCTTACAATTTACATTCCATATTTGCGGTTCGTTAACTCGTTTGTTAGTTTTTACGAGAAAATATGATATCGAGAGTTTGGCATGTCGGATCGTTTGGAGATAAAGGGATAACTCAACAAAAAAAAAGTAGTCGATCGTTTAGCTTTGTTTT